GTTTTCAGTCTTGGAATTTGGAAGTGCATTATCGATTTTCAAGAAAACTCAGACACTATAAAACTGTGAAACCATAGTCAACACTCACTGTTCCATCCATTTGCAAACTACACAGTGCAGAACAGAACAGAACAAAGGCAGAAAAACATCAATCGCTCAAGCGGAAACAACAAACAATCACTCGCCTATTGAACCTCACATTCCGAATCATTTTCACAAACATAATCCACATAACACGAATTCGGAAAAGTAAATAAATAAATAATCTAGAAAGCCTTACTTTGGATCAAAAAATGCGCAGTGGAAATCAGCAGCGGGAACAAATCGGAAGAATGATGAGAGATTAGAAATTAAAACCTACAGAAATGGCAGGAAGCAAGAGTGAAGGAGGCTAGGTTTATCTGCCATTAAATAATATAAACAATATTATATACATATGTTTCACTCACAGGTGATGCTTCGAGACAAAATCTAAGCGCCACCGTCACCAAAGACTGCTGCCATTCAAAGTATCACCGCCGCTGTCGTTGTCCTCGATCGTCGCTGTCAAATGCCCAAAATCAACAGGGGTCGACTCGCCTAAGAGTTGTATCGCGCGAAGAATGAGAACGAGGTAGGGTTAGACTTAGCCTTGCTCAATCGGTTTCGAACCACCGATTTCAGACCGGGCAGTTCCGGTTTAAACTATTCACCTAAAAATTCGTGCCCAAAACAAATGTTGCACTTTATTTCGGACAGAGAAAATAAATTTTACACAATAAATAAATAATAAATATATATATCTAAACAAAATTAAAATTAATTATTTTGAAATAAAATTTAAATTTAGAAAATAAATAAAAAATATATTAAAAATAAACCGTTACTCATGAAATTTAATTCTGTGAGTAATTTCATTGTTAATTACTACCAGAGTTATATTTTGTGAATACTTCCGCGAGTTACAGACCAACTGAAAATTTAGGGTGTATTAATTTGACATTTCATTGGATTTTTTTTTTAATTTTATAAAATCTATGAATTTACGTGGATTTAGAAAGTCCACAGAGTTTAGTCAGAGTGTGGTCGATTTTATTAATTAATTTAAATGAATTCTTATGGATTTCTTTGGATTTTTTCATGAATTTATATGAATTTTATAGAATTGTAAGGCATATTCTTTTTTATTGATTTATATAATTGTATAAACTTATGCAAACACAAATTTTACAAATATAATATATAAATATTACTCCCTCCGTCCCGGAACAAAGGTCACGTTTGCTTTTTGCACGTAAATTTTTTAATATTAGTATTATAATGGATTGTAATGAAAATGACGAAAATACCCCTATTAGTATTGTGTAATATAAAAGTAATGACATTTGTGTAATATAGTGTAAGTTTGAAGGGTATTTATTACGTTAGGTATGTAGTACTTATGAAATTATAACCTTATTTGGGACGGACGAAAACGAAAAATGACAACATTTCAATGGGACGGAGGAAGTATTATATTTTATAAAATATAAGTAATATTAATAAATAATATATAATTTTAATGATATAAAAATATTGTAACATATATAAATCTACTATATTTTGTATATTATATTTTAAATTTTATAATTTTTATTATATTATCATTCAATATATTAATTTATTTTTATATTTTTTATTAGTTATTACTATTATTCTTATGTAATAAATTTTGTAAAAAATAAATAGATAAATTAAAAAATTAATATATCACACACATTTATTATTTTTATATTATATACACAATTTCTTATACTTTAAAAAATATCACTTTCAAAATATTTTACAAAACAATCACACCAAAAACAAAAAACTGCATTTATAATTTTGCATAAGAAATAAAATTAAAAATTAAATAAATATAACTAACGGTTCAACGAAAAAGATATATATTTAGTTAATTTACCGACAATACAGTGTATTCAATAATTAAAAAAAAACAGTAATACATATTTAATATGATAATAGTTATTTCCAAATATTATATTTATAATACTCCCTCCGTCCAGTTAGAAAGTATACATGTTTCTATTTTGGGACGTCCAATTGCAAAGTAAACATTTCATTAAATATCTTATTTTTTTTCCACAAATACCCCTACTTAACATCACATCATTACTTTTACAACAAAGAAACAAGGGCAAAAATGTCATTACACTACTTTTAACTACCTACTATAATTAAAATACTATTATTTCTTAAACATCGCGCCAAAAGTAATTGTATACCTTTTTTGTGGACGGAGGGAGTATAAAAATACATATTCTCAAAAAAAGTTAATAATAATTTATTAATATATTTTATTTTTAAATTATTACTTTTTATTAAATATTTAAAATAATATTAATAAATATTATCATATTCTTTATTATTTATATATTATCAACAACAACAACAACAACAACAACAACAATAATAATAATAATAATAAATAATACTCCCTCCGTCTCAAAAGAAGTGTTATATGGAGAGTTGGCACGCGAATTAAGGAATAATAATATTTAATTGAAGGTGAGTATAAAGTAGAATGTAAATGACTAAAATGCCTTACTTTTTTAAGGATTTTAAAGAGTATGTTAGAATAATAACTTTGGGTAGTATGAAAAAGTAGGAATAATTTTGTTACAAAGTGGGGACCACGGCTACTAAATAAGGAAACAAGACAATTTTTTTGGGACGGACGAAAATGAAAAAAAAAAAAAAGACAAATCTTTTGGGACGGAGGGAGTATCTTCTTTATAGAACAAAAGTAATATTAAAAGTTTTGGGATATAATTGTCTATTCACCTATTAAGAATCCATGAGAGATTTTTTTATGTACAAATTTTTTATAATTGTCCATTAAAATCTAATAAAATCCATAGACTTTTTGGATTGTTGAATACCTCAAAAAAAATTTTAAAAAATCTTGGTTGAATACCTCAAGATTTTAAAGAACCTTTAAAAGTATTGATTGAATACTTCCAGATTTTAAAAAACTGGATTGAATACACTAAGATTTTAAAAGTTCAACAAAATTCTATAAAGTTGTGATTGAATACACCTCATTCGTTTGTAATTTCATTTCTAATTACTTATGTGAGAAATTTTGTAAGTAATTTTATTTTAAATTACTTATAGAATTATTTTCATGAATAATTGCATGAGTAGACAAATTATTCACGGAATAACTCCGTAAATAATTGATGTGGGTAATTTGCTTCATTTTTTTTAGTGGCAAAACACTCGCATACGGGGAAGAACTATGTTTGACATTGATAGGCAGTTATCACTACATGTCACTGCCAACATTTGATTGTTCTTATTTTTTTTAACTAAAATTTTACCTCGTCTGTGTCTGACGGTCATTACTACGATCGCCAACATTATATTATTCTAATTTTTAGAATTAAAACTTTTTAGTGCTTTAACATTTATTTATTAGTTATAATTATTAAAATAAATTATATTTTATTTAAAAAATTGGATTTGACGGATTCACCCGAACTCGAAGGATTCCGAGCGGGACAGATCCTGAGGCGGGGGAGGGTAGGGCGGGCCTTAGAGCAAATACAATAATCTCTCAACCGTTGGCCTCTCAGTACCTATGGAGGCAGTATTCGATTAAACACCAGAAAAAAGCCACGCAATGATAAATCTTTCTAGGCAGAAAAAAATGAGAGGGCTTGAAGGTGGTTTTGTGAAGCAAAGGCACATCACAAGTCCATTCATCGTCATCATTTTCTCTCTCTTCTCTTTTCTTTCTCCCTTTCATTGTTTTTTGCAAATACCTAATTCCCAAAAAACTCACAATTTCCAAATCGAATCAATATCTCCAATCCAAGTCCAGAACTCTCAACGCCACCGGCGATTCCCAAGAAGAGCAGAAATCCATGGGTATCGACCAACCGCTCGACACTCGACAGATGATTTTAAATTTATAATGGACTATAGAGTTTGGAAATTCCTCGTTTCGATTGACTTAGGCTTTCTTCGATTAAGAACCACTAATTATGAATACTCATTTGATTTGATTGAATTCATATACAAGATGAAACATGACTGCACTAGGTTTGCAGTTTTATGAACACCATGTGACACAAGAGCACAAATTTTAAGTTCTAACACATTTTAAATACATGGTGTCAATACTCATTCTAGTCAAATGCCATGTTGATTGATGTCAAGAATTTTACATTATTCAAATACATTCAAATAAAAATTATAATTATCATCAACCCAATTCACACTCTTCTAAACCGACCAATATCTACTTTGGCTATAAAACAACACGCAAATACAAACTCTTTAAATTTAAAAACAAAAAATCCCAGTAAAAAAAAAAGAAAAACAAATTGACAAGTCTTAAAAACAATTACAAAAATTATAATTTTGTACAGAAAATATACCGTTAATTTTAAGCTCATGTAGGTTTTGGATTGTCAATTTTCCCACTATGATTCCCAATTTCAAGCGTTTGTCTATTTAGAAGATTGATGAAAAAAAGGGTTTCCGGAAAGAAAGTCTAAAAAAATCTTGTGTACATAATAGAAAAGTAAATTTTTTGTTTATTGTGGTTGAATTTTACAAAAATTAAATAGAGGGTATAAATGATGTTGACACTTCAACTTCGGGCTTCCTGCCGGAGATTTTATTGGGTTGATTACTTAATTTGCTCTTAGGCCTCATATTCTATAGAGGGGGATCAGGGCCTCAGAACCGGTCCGAACCCGCACAGCTAACGTGCCTAAATCCACATTCTTCAATGTCGGATCAGAAATTGTGCCATTAACTACTTTGGTCCAGTGAATCATTTTTAAGTCCGCATCTGCACCTGTAGTGAAGTTACGGCGATAGTGATGGGGTGAAGTTCAATCCCCAATTTCGAAATCAAACAAGTGTAGCATGTATGAGTCTGGCAAATTAGTGCTTGCGTAATGAACAGTGTTTGATTTCACCGTCCAGAAAGCTCCCAAAAGATTCTTCATTTTATTTTATTTTTTATTACAGAATGCAGCAGCACGAGGGCTATTCTTTTGTTGTTTTTCAAGATTTTCGATTCGATGGTGGGTAAGAGAATATGTTGAGAGATAGTATTAGTTCCTGCGCTGGTCCCACGCAGGTAAAAACAATTCGTGTATGCAAATATAATCCATGGCTGTCTGCAGAGGCGGTGGGTTTTGGTTTTGGACACTTGCAGCCTGAGATTCTCTCTCTGCTCTGCTAAGCTCGCACTCCATTTGACTTGGGGAGAGTGATTCGCCGCCATGGATTGCATCTACAAGGATTCAAATGCGCCCATTGAAGCCAGAGTTAAAGACCTTCTCTCTCGGATGACTCTGCTTGAAAAGATCGGCCAAATGACGCAGATCGAGCGCAGTGTCGCCACTCCTTCCGCCATCAAGGAGCGGTTCATTGGTCCGTGCAACTAAGTTCAATGCCCTCTGGTTTCTGATTTCGATCAACATCCAGTGTGAATTTCTGATAATTACTAAAAATTTAGGATTCAATTTGGTGTTAATCGACAGTTAGTTTGTGCGCAGGGAGTGTTCTGAGTGGGGGTGGAAGCAAGCCGTTCGAGAATGCGAAGTCGGCCGACTGGGCGGACATGATCGACGGCTTCCAGAAGGCGGCGTTGGAGACTCGGCTGGGCATTCCCATCATATACGGGGTGGATGCAGTCCACGGAAACAACAATGTCTATGGCACCACCATTTTCCCTCATAACATTGGCCTTGGTGCCACCAGGTTAGGAGTTACAGTATTTGTCAATGGTTATAGTATTAATCATGTCAGTGGATGCATCGAACATTGAAGCAATTGATTGACCCAAGATTTGACCTTTCGATTTTGTTGCTGATGGTGTAAGTGCTCTTGTTTTATGTCGAATGCTAAGAAATGTTGCTTGGCAAATCCACCACCACAACTTTCTGTAGAATCAAATAGTAGATTTGGGGGAAATTCATCTTTGAATTATTTCTTCTGTGTTCTTGGATAAAAAGGAGCAAATTCCTCAATGGTAGTATAGATTCAGTGGAGCCTTTAGTGTAATCAAACATCTTCTGAAATTACATGCGTCAAATTGCATATCTTGTTCTCGACTGGATAGCTAATTCTGTAGTTCTCCACCTGAGTTTATGCTGTATATAAAGTCCATCTGGAATTGAAAAATGAAGCTTTGTTTTGTAAGAAAATTGATGTATGTGCGTGTCTGGTTCCTTGTGGACAAATTGGTGTGCAGAATAATCTCTTTGATGCCATGCCAATGCCAGGAATTAGAATTCGATCTTGAAATGTTTGGTAGTGATGGATCAGAGGATTGGTCGATAGTTATTCAATCTTGAACCTGGAATTATTTGTCATCTTGCCATTTTAAAGCTTCATTAGCTCTTTGTCCTGCCAGTTGCATGACTTGATGTTGAACAGAAAATTATCGTTGGTGTGGATTTATAAATGCGCTGTTGCATATATACTTATGCCACGTATTTACCATGGCTATAGGGATGCTGATTTGGTAAGGAGGATTGGAGAGGTAACAGCTCTTGAAGTTAGGGCAAGCGGTGCCCAATATGCATTTGCACCATGTGTTGCAGTAAGTTAAATTCATTGATAAAATAATATGAATGTCTAAAACTCTTGTATTTCGTTTTTCTTAAAATTTTACTGAACTCCATGCTTCATTTTTGGGGTTGTTCTAGATTCATATCATGATTATATATGCTGCTTGATTGCTCAATGAGCTAAAACAACTGTTGCCTGCACACTTAGTGAAGATACGTCAAATCCAATCCTATGGTTTTGGAGCACTTCCACATCCTCTAACAGTCATCCAATACACACTCACAAGTTTATGCTTTAATGTCTTCTAGATGAGAGCAAAAGACAATCATCATTTCCCTGTTTCTGCATCAACCACATTACTGTGATCACAACTCTGGAGAAAGTGCAGATCTAAGCAATTTGGGCTAAAATAATTTTGATTTTTATAGTTAGTACTTAAGTATACCCTAAAAAAGTTGGAAATACATTGCCAATTTGTTGTCATAGTCCAGAGCTTGCTGCATGACTGTTCAGTACTGATTGTCGAAATTTACTATTCCAGGTTAGCAGGGATCCAAGATGGGGGCGGTGTTATGAAAGTTATAGTGAAGATACTGAGATTGTCAGGAAGATGACCTCTCTTGTTTCGGGCTTGCAGGGAGAGCCACCTAGAGGGCATCCCAAAGGCTACCCTTTTCTTGCTGGAAGGTAAAAGAAGAGTTTTCTGAATTCTGCAACACGTAGAACTTGCTTTATTTCTCAACTGTGTGTCTTTACTTGTTTGAATAATCTAAAATCCCTTGATGCAATGATGACTAAGTTATAAGAAGCATCTAACGTTTTGATTAGGGGAACTTGTTAAGTCAAGATGCTCGTGTTTGACCTTGAGTTGAGCAATTTAACCATATATGATAATACTCATCAAGTATCGAGTCATGAAGATATGATTGTAATTTAATAATGTTAAAAAATATTTTATATAAAGCTCAGTTTTGCAAGTTCAAAACTTCCCTTTAATTTTAGTAATCCTAGCTCAACATTTCTGTGCATCTTAAGGTCAAGCTTGTTAAGCATGTTCGAGCTTGACCTCAAGCTTGAAATGGTTATGAGGAAACTCAAAATGGACATGTACCATGCTTCGGTTTTTATCTATTTTCAGCCTGACGTTCCTTACATAGTGAAATGTATAGTTTCTACACAGGCTGGTTTAGCTTCTCTTCTAATATATCAATTTGTTTCTAGTTGTTGCAGTTATGTTGATACAATCACATCATTTTTTATTTTATTCCTTACCCATCGACTAGCCAGAGATTGTTTACTTTTCCAATTGGTTTCAGAAAAAATGTTATTGCATCTGCTAAACATTTCGTTGGAGATGGGGGCACTCAGCATGGCGTAAATGAAGGGAACACAATATTGTCCTATGACGAATTAGAGAGAATTCACATGGCACCGTATTTGGATTGTATTTCTCAGGGAGTTTGCACCATAATGGCGTCATACTCTGGTTGGAACGGAGACAAGTTGCACACTCACCATTTCCTTCTCACTGAAGTTCTGAAAAATAAGCTAGGATTCATGGTAAATTTCCTCGAATTACTCCAGACTACTTTCACTTCAATGAAGAGATTAGTCTAATTATTAATATTATTATTATTCTTTTTTTTTTTTCAAACGTGCCAAGAACTATTTTCGAAATTTATATCACCTTAGGTCGTGTTTAATTCAGTCTTTAAGTTATGAAAAAGCTTGAAAGCTCCAATTGTTGGCTGGTAATTTTATTATTGGTAGGTATTAAAATAAAATTGAATACTCATTTTATCAATTGGGGGCATGAGCACTTTGATCATTTTGAATTCTGTGAACCTGTGTGTGGCTTAATATTAATGTTTGGTTGGTGTTACAAAATTCTTCTGGTGTTGTTTCCGTCCTTCAGTTTAGGTGAATTAGCTCATTTAGGAAATTGATCCATAAGGAATGATCTGCTGCAGGGTTTTATAATTTCGGACTGGGAAGCACTGGACCGGCTTTATACCCCTCATGGTTCAAATTACCGTCAAAGCATCTTATCCAGTGTCAATGCTGGAATCGATATGGTGAGATTTTATTTGCTTGGTCGTACAACCTTGTACCCCTTCATGCTTTAAATGCCTTTTTATTTCCTGATATTTGCAGGTAATGGTACCATTTAGATATGAATTGTTTCTGGAAGAATTTCTGTCTCTTGTTGAGTCTGGAGAGATTCCAATGGCTCGAATTGACGATGCTGTTGAGAGGATCCTCAGGGTGAAATTTGTATCTGGCATTTTCGAACATCCTCTGAGTGATAGATCTTTACTGGACGTGGTTGGTTGCAAGGTAACTGTGTTCCTCTATCTGATTTTCAGCATCCCTTCATTCAACTGAAGTCATCGCTTTCTTGCTTCTTATTCTCAGCAGCCTCGATAATAATGAACTTAAAAATGCTGAACAAATTCTTAAGCCAGATTTGAAATATGCATCAATATGATTCGAAACTGTTTGCCTTGTTGGGTATAAAATCATTATAATTTCATTTTTTCTATGGCCACCATAGTTGTGATCAAGATTTTTAGAAGTCAGCATCGTGTAAACATGTTGTTCATGTATTTTCTTTGCGTGTATATCTGATCACTTACTATTGATAATCTTGTCGACATCCATATTATGGGAGCCTAGATTTTGTCTTTGAGATAATAGTCTTCCTATTTAATTACCTCCAGGCGCATCGAGAATTGGCCCGTGAAGCTGTTTCCAAATCCTTGGTTTTGTTGAAGAATGGAAAAGATGAGAAAATACCTTTGCTCCCACTAGACAAAAAGACCAAAAGAATCCTCGTCACCGGAACACATGCGGATAACCTTGGATATCAGTGTGGTGGATGGACAATTACATGGGATGGAGCATCTGGCAGAATAACCGAGGGTGAGTTGTTTCATTGCATCCTTTACATCCAAAACTAAATCTTGAGATCCAGTTAATGATTTTACACAATGCACTAGCTTTTTACACTCGTCTTTCGAGCCTCATTTACATCAGCCAATTTAAACACGTAGAACCATTAATTGTTATATCCAGGCACAACTATACTCGATGCAATAAAAGTAGTGGTGGATAATGAGGCAGAAATCACATACGAACTAAACCCTACAGCCGAGACATTTTCTGGCCAAGATTTCTCTCTTGCCATAGTAGCTGTTGGAGAGGGCCCTTATGTTGAAAGTGGAGGGGATGATCCGGTGCTCAAAATTCCATTCAATGGGAGCGAGCTGGCGGGCTTCGTCGCTGACCGAGTACCAACATTGTTAATTCTAGTCACCGGAAGGCCTTTGGTTTTGGAGGCACAGCTGCTGGAAAAAATTGAGGCTCTGGTGGTAGCTTGGCTGCCGGGAACTGAAGGCAGAGGAATCACAGATGTCATCTTTGGGGATCGTCCCTTCCACGGACGACTCCCCATGACATGGTTTAGAAGTGTGGATGACCTCCCAATACACAGCTCCGGAGAGAATTCATTGGACCCCTTGTTCCCTTTCGGCTTTGGGCTAACGACGACTTGTTAGGGACTGATGAGATTTTTGGAAAGAGGTGCGTTTTGCCTTGCTTTGCTGCGCTGGGAATTTTATTCTATCTATGGGTTTTAAGAGGAGAATCGATCATATGTATCGTTTATAATTAACTCTTTATCATTTGTGGTAATGCTATTCACGATTCAATGTATTCAAGATTCCTGGTTTATCAAAAAATATTTCCTTTTTTCCATCCCCTACGGATTGATCAGTTGTTGGTTTGTTAATGCTTTGAATGGATTTTTACTGATTTTTATGCTATTTTAGGTTATATTCAAAGATGGAAGCCAAAATATAAAGATACAGCAAAACGTGCCCCTTAGTCATGCCCATGACTAAGGCGGCCGGGATTGTCTGGAATTTCGATCTAAATGGTGTAAAAATCTGAAACGCACATTCATCTCAGCATAGAAATGGCGAAATCATCCTCATAATATTTCAAATCTAAGTCCATCATACTTTGGAAGCCCAAAATATGCGAAGAAGTTATCCACTCAAGCCAATTTCCTCTACCGATAAAGCAAAACAAGAAAGATATAGGCCGGACCGATTCTAGAAGAAATCCAAATGTCTAAAATAAAAGGAGGAGAAGCAGAGGCAACCTTAATGAGATTTGGACATGGCGAGCACAGGTTGAAGAGTATCTTCTGAAGGAGAGCGCCGCGACATTTCATTCCTAGTGGAGACGACGAACCGACAGGCTCCCATCAGAAAAGAACTTCACCTAGATGCATTCCTATCTTTTTTTTTTTTTTTTTCTTTTGTTTTTCTTCATGAGTAGCTAAATTTTTTATTTAGTCCAATGATCGATTAATGATTTGAACTATAGTTTTGTGAGATCAACTGTTTAATTTATAATTTCTATTGAACTTCTTTGGTATTCGTATAATTTCTTTGTAGCATGTCTTGGTTTATTTTCTCGATCTTATATGATGGCCACATATTTAGGTGAGTTTGTAATTCATAGTCAATTGAATAATTACATACGTAATTGTGTGATTATTTGATTTAGTGACAATAAAATGCTTACGAATCATCTTATAAATTTACGATATGATTGCGACAATCCTGCGGAGGAATTAGCGAATCATAATTGGGCTTTTATAGGGTTTAATTCGATGGAAAACTCAAATTTTTGGGCGTACCCGGATTTTTTTCTTCAATTAGGGAATTAATTAATGGTCGTACATTAATTAACGATTAAGTAAAGAAAAGCTGGAAGTAGGCGCATGTTGGCTTCTATAACCAATTTACCAAAAGATTCAATAGAATACAATATGCGATCGATGATCAAATCCGAGATTCATCTCTGAAATAAATCGCTGGGTTAGACATTTTTATTTGAAGTTCTTGATTTATTTGATTTTATTAATTTCTTTAATTTTTTGATTTTTTTTACCAATAAAAATAAAGATAACAAAATGCAATTTTACCTACAGTGCTAAAAAGTTTGGTTGAGCAAAACAACGTGAATAAACAAGGGAGGATCGAGCTATAATAATAAATAATACATATTTGGGCTGGGAAGGGAGAGCAAAAAATGGACAGAGATTGCAATGTATATACTTTAATCGTTAGATAATAAATCATAAGCCCATTATGACCAAACCAATCCAATCCAATGTTCTAACAACCAACAGATAGAGCTTTTTATTTATTTATCTATTTATTTATTTGGATGTATTCACACACATACACTCATGCACCATGTGAATCGAACCCTCAATTTCTAGCATGTAAAAAAAGACTCAACTGCTTGAGCTATACTCCTTTCGTAGCAACAAATAGAGCTTGAGATGGAAGACGTCAAGCAAGGAAGCAAAAGAAGATGCAACTATGACAATATTTTATATCAAACACGATGCTGAGACCATTGTTAGGATTTTTTCAATTCAACTCAGACCCAAACTCAGAATTTGTCCCGACCCGATCCGACACAATAAGCTGAGTTTGCTCATAATTTCGTGTGTTTATCCACAATCTCCCTTGGCTATATATATTCGACGGGTTTGTAGATTTTTCGATGGGAGTGAGGATAAGGTGCTTTGTGCTGCTTGTTCGTATTTTTCTTCCTTGTGATGCTCTGTGCTCGCTATATTATTTCCGAATTTGTTATGATCTCCTCACTCTAGACTTTATTTTTATTCCTTTGTGGGATTACTTGTGGATTTGGGTGGCTTGGTGCTGAAACCAAACTGATTTTATCCCTTTGTGTAGTGTTGTCTCATTTAGACGACTTGGACTTGGCAGGAACTGAGTTGTGATTTAAGTATACTGAAAATTCTCCAAATATTTCATTTACTACATAACTAGTTTCTTTCGTTTATTTTGATTTATAATTATGAGTTTTATTAATCTTTTTATCTACTAAAATATTAATTTTTTTGGTGATGATTATTTGATTTATATATGATTTTGATTCTTGTTAATCTATTTATCCACTGATCTACTATTTTTTTTTTTTTTTTGTGATGATTATTTGGTTTCAAGAAGAACACGCGACGATTACGCCGAGAATAGAATTCCCAACAATGGTATCAAAGTTCAAGGTTGAATAAGTGTTATATACGGTTTGAATTAGAATTTTAATTTTGCCCTGGAGTTGGTGCTAAACCTTAAACCATAATGTGTTAAATAGTTATAGGGTATGCTAAATTGATTTGTCTGCTTAATTTTTTATTTTAACTCTTTGTCATTTAAATCTTGATTTGCAATTATTTCTAAAACTTTCTAACACATCTATCAAGTAATTGATTGCTCTAAGAACAAGTAATTACCACTAATAGTTACTAATTCTATGTGACATACTTGGTGTGGTGTGAGTTGGCTAATACGTACCAACTTGTTCCAAAAAGAACAAATAACTGACCATTGATAGTCATGTATGACATTTTGTGATATTTTCCAATATGATATTTGTTTCTATAGTACCTTTTAATGAGAAAATCGAATTTTCAATTTGGAAAAAAAAAAAGAAAGAAATTTAAGTAATTCAAAAGGTTTGAAAACTATTGATGTTGTTTAAAATTCTTTTTAATGAGTTATGAAAAGTTGAAATAGTTGAGTGTGTTTATTCTTTAATTATCTTAAACTTAATTGTGATAGAAAAGTAAAAAAATATGATTACGCAAAAGTACCTTGGGAGAGATTAGAAAAACTTACATAGAAAAGTCTTTGCCAAATAAATTATTTTTACTTGAATTATATTTTAGATTTAAACTTGATTTAAATCAAACAATAGATGAAAATCTTGATATTTTTGTTAAACTTGTTCAAGTTAAAAAATAAATAGGACGAATACACTACTATTATGTTTTTTTTTAATGTTATCTCCGAATCTATTTTTAATGTCAAATCTACTTGTAGGCATGAAAAATTAAATACCAAAATTCAATTAAATATCATATATATTGAAAGAAAAATAAATTTTCAATAAATAAATATGTGGTATTTAATTATATATATGTTAATTTTTATACAATAAATATAAATTATTAATGCAAGATCTGATTAAAATAGAAGATGTCGTACAATCTTATATGCATATATAGAGTCATAATAAATTTGACAAGAAAATAAATTACCCTATCAATATAGGAAATATTATAATTAATATCTTCCAAAATAATAATATAAAGACCATGACGAGAAAAAAAAGACGCACAATCAAATTTTTCAAGAATGAAAAATGGTATCCGATGAAAAGGTAAGGATTACAAAATTTTTCTATCCGCCAATCGGAACGCGCCATAGACATCTCCTGGAAAGGAAGCCAATGCTATCTCTTCCCTATGAATAGAGGTCTTGGCCAATTCATTTGATATACCAGAGTACATTCGAAGACTCGAGCAAGTGTAAATCTTGCTAGACTCTTTACATTGTTCTTCGTGTTCTTCATGTCATTCGAATCGTTAATCATCGAAAAGTCACCGATTTAGACAAATGATCCAATATTAATTGTTGAATCGATGAATTTAACGTTCTTCTCATAAGCCTAAGTTGGAGGAAAGATCAAAGCTTCAAAAGCCATTGAAGAATCCGTCAAATCCAAGGAAAAACCTCCAAAGTTCATCTCAAAACTTCAAGACGTTCGTTGCATTTTTCGTCAAATTATCAAATCCAGCCCTCTTTGATCCAAAAGTTAAAGGGGCATGGCAAAAAATATTATAAAACACCAAATTCACCTCCTCAAAGATCAAATATCCAAACCTATCAAAATCAATATTCAAAGCCAAAGTTGAGGATCAAATTCGTCCACACGGAGATCAAATATTCCAAAATACAAAAAAGTCAAACCGAAAACAAAATCCTTCAAAGAAGTTGGATTGAATATCATATCTCCATAAGTCCTTAAGAAGTCATCAAATTCAAGTTGAAAGACAAGTCAATCCGAAAAGAGAATCAAATGACCCGTTTGGATATTTTGACCCACTTTATATTCAATTCAAATAAAATATAATTTGTAAAAATTGTGTTTATATAAATAATACAATTTTTTTAGCACGCCCAATAGGATGACTCTACCTTTCATCTATTTTTCTATCGAATTCTCAATGATCAATGGTTTCCTACAAGATCAGGACTTCCAACGCTACGTCAAAAGCAGTTGCTTAAGCCACCGCCACCAAAGAAATCGCTGCATCCACCGCCGCCAAATTAATCATTGCATCAAGAAACTCACGCGCTTGAACAAATGCTGGAGTGACGACATGAAAGATAGCCAAAAAAGCATTGTCGTGCTCTGAGGACACTTCTCCAAAAATCGCAAAGCAAAACTCACTATATGAAGATGAAAGCTTCAATAGTACTGCCGTACGGTTAACCCCTCAATAAACTGCAAGTCTTTCAACTACATTAAGCTCTGCTTCAATTATGACTATCTATGCTTTAAATATAGTTGACCCAAAGATCGCGGATCAAAGCCCTCTATTCGAGAAATATCAAAACTTCAATGGCACTTTCATGCAACCCACTTATCGACCACCTTCAAGTTTTTCGACTATGTCAAATTTGGCTCCAGTAATGACTATCAACACGTCAAATATAGAGGGTCATCTTGTTGTATTGGCCAAAATTGTGGAAGATATGTCTCAACACATGCAACAACAAGACACCTTATCGAAAAGCTTCTCACCAAGCTAGACATGTATGAAGAAGCCGGTCATGCCATCGAAAAACAACCATCTTCCCCGG